GGGAGAAAGCGGAGGGATGGAAATCCGTCCGAGCAGTCATGGAGCGTGATCTGTATGTTCGATCGGTAAGAAATCGGAGCAGGGCATATGGTCCAGAGCGAACTGAGAACGGCAAACATGCATAGCCGATGACGGCCTGTGCAGAGAACCGACCAGATCATTCACCCACCTACCCACCCCTCAGCAGCCCGCATTCATAGTTGGAGCAGTCATGCTTGCCCAACTTACAAACTACATCCTCGTCCCACGTATGATACGAAAGTCCGAAAACTCCACGACGATATACAGTTACATCGCCGGCTTGCAGTTCGGCCTGGGCCTCTTCATAACCGGAATGGCGAAGTCGGCAAAGGTACTTGGATTCTTTAGCTGGTTTGACCGGTCTAAATTCGACCCATCCCTGAGCCTGGTCATGCTGTTCGCTGTTATCCCCAACCTCATCTCATACATGAAATTGGGAGCTGCGTCCGGAGATGAAAACGGGAAGAAACGGCCGACTCTGGCGGACATGTTTCAGCTGCCAACAGCTACTATGGCAGATATTGATTGGCGATTTGTTGCGGGCGGTGTAGCGTTCGGGGTTGGGTGGGGATTGTCAGGGGTGTGTCCTGGGCCTGGTTTGCTCAGGACCGTTCTACAGCCTAAATGGGGCTTGCTTTGGATGGGAGGATATATGTTGGGGGCTCTGTCGGGTTTGTAAAATTGCTGTTCCTTGCCACTCTATGGATAGCTATCAATCTTTGATATTTTTATATATCGGAAGTTTAGGACATTTTACTCTTTTCCTGTAGTTATAAGGGGAAATCCGGAGTTTAAATTTGTCAATGATATCTTTCCTAGTTCCTGTACATGCAAGTCAGAAGGGGAATAATGTGTACAACTTGTCGACACATACCGCTTAAGAATTACCCAAACAGTAGTTACAGCCCAAATATTTGATATTCACACCATTTTTTGTTCTAGAACCTAAACGGCAATCAAAATCCCTTCCTGAGGATTTGGATATCCACATCTGGACTATTGAATACTGTTATGTAGCGTTGGCACAGCCATGGACGCCGCAGGGAACGGTAAGATACTCGAGTCTTTTCCTTTTTTGCCCCTATTCCTTTTAATATTGTGTATACGTAAGTTACATATGTCTCTATATCTAAATACATTTGCATATTCATCAACAGATGCATGAATGTGTTTCTGACATGTCGATGAAAAGAGATGTGTGGTGCAACTGCGCCTTGCTGAGATAAAGCACAGAAGTGTGGAGCAAAGGCCCTCGGATGTACTCCGTACTTGGAATATAAATTGAAAAATCTTAATACAGCCTTTTAAATAATTCTAACTCACAATGACAGACGTTGCGGAGACTTAGCACGCAACTTCTAGCCAGCTTTAGGCATCAGACCATTGAACTAACCTCAAATCTTCAGGGCTCTGCCAGCTGGTATGAAGCAAATGTACCGTTTATATGGACTTTTGTTCCACACCACCGTACACACAGCGAAATGGCGAACTTGGTGGGCCGCGATCGCCGCGGCAGTCGATCTCCATGGAGATGTAAATCATTTCAGTTCTTAAAAAAACATTGCATATGTCACGCCCTAATAAAGATTATTAGTTTATTTTTATTCACACAGCAAGAAATCGAATGAAAAGTCATGTAACTTCATACTAACTTGTATGGGAAATTGGAAACGAAGTATCCGAACACGTCACAAGCAAGAGGATATAATAAACCCTTAAAATGAAATGGACACAATATATACACATTCCAACTAAGGGCAAACGGAGAGAAAGAAAAGTTTCAAGAATGGGAATGTCTTAAAGCTCAGTTTTTCTATTAGGCTCGTCTACTGACCCTTCATATTTTGGAAGCATACCCTCCAACTCTAACCATTCAGCTATGAAAGCCGTAAGCAATGTACTCCAGTCCTCAACCGTATCGAGATCCAATTGCTCCGCATTGTCTGTAATTTTATGCCATGTCTTAGGGAAAGGGGAGGCGATCAAATGCAAGATCTCAACCCCACGTCTCATAAATGGGATGTGGTCATCGGCAATTCCGCTAGGGAAAAATATCTCCTTCTCCGAGTCGGGGAGCCACAGCTTGTCACCGTTCATCCATGACGGCGCTGACTTGAACAAGCCAAGTTGGCGCAACCGGGTTTCCAGAGTAGCCATATTTTGATATGCCCAGTGAGTTGTTTTGAAATGAGACAGGATCTGTGGGTCCTTTTCGCCCAATAGATCCAGCAGGACAAAAAGTGAGATGGCCGATAGTGGGGATTTGTAGACAGAGGTAGCCGGGTAAAAGGTATCTTCCATGGCCTGGGCTAATGCTCGAGAACCGTAAAGGGAATCTATGTCAGTCCAATAGTGGAAAGCTTCTTCGCCATCTAATAGAAAAACTTGGATGCCTTGGTGATCGAAAAATGAGTCGTGGGAGGATTCGGCCTTCATAGCATCCCACTTTTTAGTCAAGGCCGCGTCAATACTTCGTATGGAATGCATGATAATTGCGCATGGAGCAGCGCTGTCTGTAGCGCCGATAAAGCCAGGAGGTTCTCGTTTGCTATCATAGTGTGCCGCCAGAGTGAACCTGCTTGTATCTCCAACACCTGACCATGGAGGATCCCGAAAGGCGATCAAGTTGACAAAGGGAACCTCCCTGTTTCCGGTTACTGGTGTTTTCGACGTCGAATTTTGGAACTCTATCGTCCACTCAGGTAATGTAGTTCTAAAGAAATCAACGAAGTGTTGGAGAACTCGTAGGGAACCTGGAGTGCCGGGGACACGTGGTTGCAGGATGGGAGCTAGTAGCGCGCCGTCGCGGATGTTGAAATCATTGTTGGGACGTGGAAGGGATTTTAACGTCTCGTCAGATAGTGTTGCATACGCTTGGACGGGATTTCCAAAGAATACCGCCCCCAGCAGGAAAATGAGGCACGAAGCGGCCAACCGGCAGACACTTTCTGCCATTGTCGAGAGGTCTCACAAGCTTCATAACAACGTTGTGTGCATTGCCGACCGGGGAAAAACAGTAGCATGCGTATGGATGAGTGTTCCTATTTGCATCACTATCAGTGCAGCTTATTGTCAGGAGTAAGTTGATGTGGATGAGATTCAAAGACGAAGACGAGCTAATTGTTGGGGGGATTGGAGCGCTGGTGGTGATTGAGCCCTAGTGGCCTAACTAGTTAGTTAACAATACTAATGGCTTATATAAATTTGATCACATGACGTATCACAAAATCCCCGGCCTCAACTGCAATTCATGATTAAAACCCGTTCCTGCAAAACCGTGATGAAACGCGCCAATTCCTCCTAAATGTCCTCTAACTAGTAGGAAGCATTGATGTATGCATGGAATTTGCTGCTTGTTGATGTCCCAACTGTTCAGCAACCCCTTACCCTAGTAGATATGAGGAGGCTGCTTTGCCGCCCTCCGCTCCGACAATGCCCCAGCACTCAGCACGACCAGAGAAATATATACAACAAGTTTTGCTTACGATTCAGTTCAACGGTTGGGGAAACATCTTCTAAATCAGCACTGAAGAGCAGTGGAAAACCCACACTGCAGATTTTGCGGCCTCCGGTTCGCACAGCCGCGGGTAAATTAAGGAAAAATGGTATGTTTTCCAGATCAAGCTTGTAGCCATCTAGCACATCCTCCTGCTCACAGATTTTTACTTTGTGATATAGAAACTTCAAAACTTGAAAAAGTCCTCATCTATCATGCGGGTACGGGAAAGATAGCCTTCATTGGTATGATGCGTATCACCACCCTTCTTATATTTGGTGTTTCTTGTCTGGTTGTCGCTCCAGCTTTCTATTATTCCAGCGATTTCCCCTGGTGCATAACTCCAGCTAGTAGGTCTTCCTCGTATGATTGAATATCTGAATTGCCTATGCTAATTAAATGAAGTTGTTATTGGTGGTTCCATTCCCATGCTATTCGTCTTATACACGACAGCTCCTTTTGTCAACCTTATATACCTCAAACTTCCACATGCCGCCAGACAGACACGACAACGTACACAATTCTATTTAAAAGATGTACCACGAAATGCGACATTGGATATTGAAACCATGAAATTGAATTTTTACTTTCGGAGCACCCAGGTGGCGATTTCTGACTTGGTCCTGGGGCGTTCAACTTTCCGACCAGTTAATCTAATCAATACCAAACCAGGCCCTCAGTCGTGGTGGAAGGGGAATAATATTTATTTCTATGCACCAGTTAAAACACGTCTCAGTTCGAAACCCACTTCAAAATACTTCCCAGAAGTATGGGAAGGGGTATTTGCGAAAATCAAGGAGAATACTCTGAGCTGCGCAAGTTGAGCAGCCGATGCAATTCATTCTCATTTGTATTCTTTAAATTTTGCCATGTCAAAGACACTGCTTTTTTCAATTTGGACCGTTTACTTCTTCACTTCCTTCAAAGCAGCTGGCACAGAGCCGCACAGATCCTAACACCTCTCTTCCAATCTTTCTTGAGGCCAACGAGAATCCTTGTTCATTATTTGTTAACAGCAGTGCCTTAGCAACCAACCAGGCTCTCACAAAATCAAAGGTTTTACCTAAAGTTTGTGTTGTGTTGTTTACTTCTCTCTACTATCTCACTTAACTTTGACTTCTACCATATATTCTTTTCAGGGCATAAACCATAGGCCCCCTTTCCTTTAACATCATCAAACAATCAGCACACTCTATTTCACTCTTCTCATCTTTCATACTTTCCTAGACTATAAGTGATAATAACCATATATCCCAAACAAACACCAGTTACGTGCCGCCGAAATGGAGGGCTTCGAAACCGTCATGTCTGCTGGGGAGCAACGCATCTTCTTTATTGCAATGACCTGTACCACCGAAGGCTTAGCTGGAATCAAGGTACTTATTTCATTCTACCTTTTGCCCATACTCTTTTTAGTTCGCCCAGAGCTTCTGCCAAAACCCACTATCTCTTTACATAGCTGTGACATTTAGTCACGGTGGGGTGTCTCAATTCATTCGGGGTATCTCTATTTCTAATCACAAATATTTCGAGGCTATAGGTCAACTATGAGCTGCTTGCTGAGAAAGCTGGCTTGAAAAATGCTAGCTCTGCTTCAGTCCTCTATGGAAAAGCCAGGCGCAAGCTGATGATGGCCACCCAACAAGGAGGATCCAGTTCGACTCCGAACGACAGTGAAATGGGTCCCACGACTCCAGCAAAGGCAAACAAAGTTACCAAACGTACACCGAAATCGTCTGTTCGCGGGAAAGACAAGACCACTAAAGCCGCACTCGCTGCGGCCACCCTTGAAGCGGATCCATCTCCAACCAAATCCAGCAAAATCAAAGCGAAAGCCGAACACGATGTGGACGTGACTGGCATGATGGGCGGTGACATTGGGGTTAAACATGAGTAAGTTTATTTCAAAACAGTATCTATCATATATTTCCCGCTTGATTCCATATCATGGCAACCGTAAGCAAAAATTAATAAATCCACTTTCCTGTTTTCAGAAACAGCAATGGTGCACTGGCGCCCATTAAGTCTGAATTTGCCAATGATCTCGCTACTGAGATGATTGAAGGCACGTCATATCCCCGCTCTGAGCTCGAATGGTCCTTTTTTGAGCAATCACTGTGGCATGTCGAGACTTACAAAAGTGAAAGTGAAGATGGGCCGGACTGATTCTAAACGGGTTTCTGCGTAAAGATCGCGTGACACTCTGTTCGAAGAACCATATACGAAGTGGTTGTTCTGCGAGCATAAATTCCGAAAAAAAATTTCATTACTTCAGTTTTGTGCATGAGAACTGCCTGCTGCCACGATGGTGTCCATAACGACCGATTTCCTCGGGTTGCTGCATAAAAGTTGTCCAATCTATTTCTCTCTTTACTTCCGAGCAAGTCACACGTGTTTTGATTTCGCTGTTGGGCGGTTTAGTAACCTCGATGTTTCCTTTTGCTTGTTTACTCGGAGATAATAATTAATTAATAGCTGCTATTTGGCTTTTTCCTTGATATTTTTCTGGGGGTATGTATCTTGACAAATTGAAACTGCCTTGTGCTTAGTGAAAATATGGCGGATCAAATTCAGTACATCCATCCGCTTTACCTTTGTCATACATACCTGACCTTGAGGAGTAGATAACGTAGAAAAATATTGCCTGTGTATATTATCCTTCTAGCTATCCTGGAATACATTCCTCGTAGTAGAAAATATACTGCCTCCGTTTAATTTATAATTATTCAATCCTCTTTTTCGTCCTCTGTGCTCTGATTGACCTTCGTTTGCTCCTTTAGCTCCCCCCATAATTCTCCCACGCAATATTTCTACACAATCCAGCGTCTGAAAATAAAATTCAGGTTTATTTTGAATATCAATTGCGACCACTCCACACTAATCCGTCAGAACCGGGATGAGATATTATCATCAAAAATTCGGGCTTATCTGATTAAATAATTCCTTGGCAACGACCATCGACTCGTGAGCAATACTGTTAGGACGGCATCATCACGCCATTTCTACGCTGATTAGCTCTAATGAACAAGGGTAGGACTTCCAATCGTTGAAGAAGATATTTCAGTTAAGGAACGTGTGCTCTTATTCCATTTAAGAATCACCTCTTCAAGTACTACACAACCTCCCGGCCACAGAATCGGTATCACATTGCCCCGCATCGATCATGACAACAGTAGCAGTAGATCAGGGACCAAAACAAGACACCCCCTGGCATGAAGCATTCCCAGCGCCGAAGACTAAGGCCGCTGTTATTTCGCGTTCAGAAGTCCTTGGATGGCTGAATGATTTGTCAAAGAATGGCGCGCCGAGAGATTTCGTCCTGGTTGATCTGAGAAGGGCAGACCATGAGGTATGTGTCGTTGATTAACTACTCGCTCTCTTCAATATTCATGTTTGGCGTAGCCAATTTTGATAATGTAGATAAGGATTGTGATATCGCTCTTGAGTGATTCAAACTCTTGTACTGCTAGAAGGGAGTAGGATCTGGGTAGAATCATGCACGAGCTTGGTTCAACCCGGTATATGGCCCGTTTATTTTATCGGAGAGGGAAGTCTTATAATCCTGCATGAAAAAGGAGGAAAACCGGGGTTTTAAGCCACGATGCTGCATTTCTTGACAAGTTGAAGCCAAAAAAAAAAAAAAAAAAAAAAAAAAATAGAGCAATCTAACAGAGAAACTATACGCAGGGCGGCACAATATCAACCTCCTTAAATCTCCCTGCCCAAAGCCTCTACCAGTCCATTCCCACGCTATACACAATCTTCAAGCAGGCCGGTGTCAATAAAGTCATTTGGTATTGCGGTTCGTACAGGCTATATTCTTGATTGCTCTACTGTTTTATTCGATTTCAATGCTTTCTTCACTTCCTCCGCTCCTTGGCTTTTGTATTTTCCTCGAGAGATCATTGAACTTGTTCACTGCTCACAATGATTTTATTTCAGGTTCATCTGCCGGACGTGGCACCCGCGCTAGTGGCTGGTTTGCAGATTACATTCTAGAGAAAGAGGGTGGAGGTGCTGGAGGAATACAGAGTCTTGTACTCGAAGGGGGAATTAAGGGGTGGGTTGGTGCTGGGAAAGAATATGTGGAACAGGTGGTAGGGTACGAGGCATCAGCTTGGAAGGGTACAGAGTGTGCGTAGGGATGAAGGACAAGTAATCAGACTTGTGGAAGACAAGAAACCTCAGTTGATTTTAGAAACGATTTAAGGATAGTAAGAATATATTATTTCTATATTTGTCTACGCTGTTAACTGATTGTATATCATCCCATTGTGCTGTACAAGCAACCGTAAGAATATGCTCGCCGCACACCAACATAGGGTGTGATGATGGGGCAGAAAAATATGTGAATGGATAGGGGGTAGCAATAGAAACATAGAAATAAAAACCAGAACGCCAGAGTTGTACAAATAAATAATGTCAAAGATATCATCATCGGGTGGGAAATTAGAGGCAAATCCATTCGAGGACATGCTTGAAATAGCTGAGTAACTTGCACAGTGAGGTCGCATTCGAAGGCTACAAGCTCTCAATAGCCCTAAGCAGAACATCAATTCCCCTCTCAGTTACAGCTCCACAACTATCTTCCGCCTCCGCATCACTTTTATCCTTTAACACCCATGCAACATCACTCCACCATCCTAAACCAATTAGCCCACCTCCTTCCTACGCTTAACGCTTTCTTTCAAACGGCTTGTATGTTCCCATTGCTTGGCGGCAATTTCTGCACGCTCAACTACTTTGTTCGGAATGCCGCACATGGAAGCACAGTGCATGCCGAAGCTCCCTTCTGCAATGCCCTCTTCAAGCTTGTATAGGAATGTAACTCGTCTCTCTTCTTCGTCCACATGGATGCGCATTCGTCGCGGAGCTATTTCTGGATGCCCTTCAAATTCAGAAGCGAGGGAGTGGTAATGAGTTGCGAAGAAACCGAGGGCGCCAATGTGGGTAGCAACATGGTGGAGCACTGCCTGGGCCACCGCAACGCCGTCATACGAACTTGTCCCGCGCCCTAATTCATCCAGAATAACAAGGGAGCGAGGCGTGGCTTCGAATAAAATCTTTTTAGTTTCTGAGAGCTCAACAAAAAAAGTAGACTGTGACGCGAAAATATTGTCATTGGCGCCGAGACGGGACATGATACGATCAACAGGTGTTAGGCGAGCAGATTGACAGGGAACGTAGCAGCCAATTTGTGCCATGATTACAGCTGTACATGTCTGTGGGGTTCAAAGTTAGTATTGTGACAATTGTCAGATGTAGAAGAGTAAGGGGGAAGTAAAATACTAACCATGCGTAATATAGTGGATTTCCCAGCAGCGTTAGCACCAGTGAGCAAGTTGAGATTTGGGGTGTTTCCTCCTAGCTTTACATCATTGGGGATAAAGTCGCCCACGTTTGGCAACATACATGGATGTCTAAGTTCTTCGAACTCTAGGACGCTCCGTTCATCATCCACAAACACTGGGCGACAGCTTGGGTATCCTAAAGCTGATGAGGCTTTTGCTAAACTAATCAAACAATCAAGTTGCGCAATGGTTCTCACAGCTGCTAGCCAGGTCGAATAATTCTCGTCGAATCGAGCATAAAACCGACTCGCAACCTCTTTGACAATCTGGCTATGAGTTTCTTGTGCTTCCTGAAGCTGGCGAATTAAGCTGCGTAGCTCAGGGAAATAGAAGCGTTTCGCCTGCTTGGTCGCGGACATTTGGTCCCAGTCCTTTGGGACGTTTTTAATTTTGATTGGTACTTCAAGTTGATAAATTTCTTTTCCGTTATCCCGATAAACGATGGCATTGGAACCCAGCTTCTTTCTAACTTCCTTCAGAAGTTGATCCAGATCACTTTCTATTTCAGAAATCCTATCATGTGAAGCATCAAAGTCTTCTTCGACACCAGCTTCAGGAACAAGAATACCGGAGTCCTTAGCTTTGGTACGATCGAAAGCAGTTTTCCAGTACTGCAAGTAACCACTCAAATCAGGCATTGAAGCAACTAATTGTCCAATGGCTCCCTCCCCGGAACCGATTTCCTTTAGGAGGCCCATTGTGTAATCGATTTTCTCGAATCCTTCAAGAACATGGAGGAAATCCTGAGCTTTGCATCTTCCAGCATGGACCCGAGAAATAAGTCTCTCGAGATCAGGCATTTTTGTTAGCTGAGATGAAAATTGGTTCTGGACGCTGCTATCTGCGTTCAAGGCATCAACGGCATCAAGTCGCGCATTGATTTTCCTAGTATCCATCAATGGGTGGCAAACCCATTGTTTGAATAGTCTTTTACCGAAAGGCGTAATGCATCGATTCAAGAGGTGGAAGAGTGTTCCTTCTTGGCCCCCGTCAAATGAATTGGCGAATATCTCAAGGTTTATCAAAGTTTGACCATCCAGGACAAGACTGGTTGCCTTTTTGATCGGGTCATACCAAGTGAAATTTCCGATTGTGATCAAATCTCTTTCAATTTTCAGCATCCGTAAGTATTGCACTAGCGCCCCAAATGCTGACATGACGAATTCTTTGTCCCGTGCCTGTCGTAGTGCTTCTGGCCATGCCGCGATATTGTCACCCTCTTCCGAAACAAAATAATTACTGGCATCAAGCTCCCGGACAGTAACATCGGCTTCACAGAACTCCTTGCAGGGTTTTAAATAATTCCAGAGGGTAGTTGGTCCAGTGTTATTTTTCAGGATCCGCAAAGCCTTGGTAGACATGACAGACTTCTCGAGCAGTAATTCTTGGGGTCGGGTTTGGGCAACAAACGTCTCAAACTTTGTCATATCGGCATCATCAATGAACTCTGCTAAATAGAACTGGCCGGTGGCAGTATCAACAAAAGCAATACCGAATGCCGGGAGGTCGTTGACTAACGCCTCCTTGATAGCCACGCAATATGTTGACATATCATCTTGAAGCATTGACCCATCTACAAGAGTGCCGGAAGTCAAGACACAAGACAATTCACGTCTGATAATTTTGTCCTGCTTCACTGGTGTGCCATTGGATTTATCTTGCTTCTCTCGCATTTCTTTACCCAAGGCGGACTCGCTTTGATCTACCCGCGCGATCTTGAAGCCCTTGGCAACAAATTGATTGGCCCAATGATCCAAGCTCATTTCAGGAACGCCAACCATTCGCATATTCACACGGTCCGTGAGTTTCAGATCAAACAGTTGATGCCCAATAGTAGCATCATTTTCGTAAAGCTCGTAAAATTTACCCTTCTTGAAAAAGACGATGGTGTCCCAAAACTTTTGCTTGATTTCCCAGTACTGCTTTTCAAAAGGTGAGAATTTGGTCCACGCAAGAGGAGGGATGTAAATGGTCCGGGGGTCATAGTCGGGATGGCCAGGGGGATTTCGGTCAATATCAGTGATATTAGCAAGCCAGGGATACCGTTGCTCTGGTTCACTCATATGCGCCTTCGCTTTTTTCTTCTCTCCTGGTGCAATGTTCCTGACAACAGCAGGTCGTGGCTTCCGTGGCTCCGTATCATTGGGATCGTAAGTCCACTTTAGGGCAGAACCACCACTAACATCTGGAAGTTCAAAGTCAAACTCCTCATCTCGTATTGGGGATGGTTTTGACGAAGATATTTTGACAGCAGTGTTTGAGGGCCGCTTGCGTTTTTTTGACGGTTTCACTTCGTCCTCGGAGTCATCTGGGACAACGAAATTGTCCAAGTCTAGTTGTAAAAGTTAGCTGATCCTGATCAAATTGAGGGGTACAGCTTGTGCTGACCATCATCAGAAAACTCGGTATCATTCTTGAATTCGTCTTCGTCGCTTGACCCTGCAGCTGTTTTTCTCCTCTTAAGGGATCTTCGGCTAGATGTTCTGTTAATCGGCAAGACATCCTCGTCATCATCTGATTCTAGATAGCTCTTGACAGCCTTCTTTGCCTAGAATACAATAATTAAGTAGATCAGCATACGTTCTCCTAGGCAGGCATGAGATATACATATAACAAAACCTAGAGCAGACAGGCTTACCCGACGAGTAGCTGTGACAGAGCTTCGATCAGCTCCTTCATCGTCAATCTGTACCGTAAGTCTGTTAGCAGGTGTGATGGGCAAGGCACTAGACCACCATCGGCCGCACTCTCAGTACTTGCCTCCGTCTTCCCATCACCATTTACTGCGGTGGAAACCTCCACCTCGGCATCCTGTTCGCAATATCCGGTTGCATCGCTACTTGGAACTCGGGTTATGCTCTGCCCACTGCTGGTTACAGTTTTATTTCGTCTAGTATTCAATGATCTTGGTAATTTTGGTTCAGGCTTCTTGTGGGATTTTTGATTTGAGGCCGCTCGCTGAGCAGGTGAAGACACTGGCTCCTGGCTAGCATCGTTCCGGCAAGCAGGAGAAGCGGCAGAAGCTGACGGGGAAGATTTTTGGAAGAAGCCCAGAATTGACTTTTGGCTTTTCATATTCTGTGTGCTTGGAGTTGACTTCTTAAGGATACGAGCATCTGGCGTTTTTTGCTGCCCACTGTCCTCTGCCATATTTCAGGGGAAAAATCTGCGCTGGAGAGAACGACAAGGGTAGGTAATGAGAATCGTGGTCAATTGAAGAATTGCATATTACTTCCTGTAATCATACAGCTGATAATCTGCTACAATTTCAATAATAAAGTAAGATAGAAACAAGGGAAGCAAGAGAGGCTGAAGGGGAGTTGCGAGAGGATTCTCTCCCGGACTCTGAGGATCGATGTCCAACGGGAGACGTGACAGCCGACGTTGATGGATCCACGGTTGCTTAGCGTGTTCGACGCGTCCGCGGTTAATGGGTTTCATCCACGTGATATCGAATACGCGCAAGATACAGAGATAGCTTCAAATTCAAGTTGTTATTAGAATTTTAGAAGAATGACTTTTACTCTATATAAAGATCAGGATGGTATTGCGTATATTATATGTACCACGTCTCAGTTCAAACGTATGGGTTCTATATGTAAAAGCAAGCTGGATCGAGGGAGCTCGGAGAAAATTTCAGGGGGAATCGGACATGTAGTCGCTCTAATGTACAGCTCTCGACAACCAAAAAAAAAAAAAAGGTATGGTACAAAAAGGAGGTTGTGACGGTGCAGATATATTTATACATATAGCAAAGATAGAGGAGGGAAAACCTCAATAACTGGAAAGGAAAAGCGTGGTATTTCAGCTTGAAACCTTCGACTCCTTGCTCGATCTGCCCGCGTCTTCCTTAGACATTATTTCAGATTCATTTTCGTCCCCCTTCCATCCCGGCGCGTCGAGCCCGAGTTTCTCAAATTCCTCATCGCTTACAATCTTGATAATCTTAACCTTCCATTTCCCAACTCTGAGAATCATCATCGGAATCATCAATGATGAATTTCTTCGTCATATCTTTGTCCCAAGTTTTGATGGGAACGTAGGACATTTTATCATCCATGACAGCCGTCGAGTCAGACCTCGACGCAACTGATGCACCATTATTGACGATAAGTCGGAATGCTTCCGCTTTTGATGGTGCCATGCCTGCTGACCATAGAACCTTGTGGAAAAATTGACCAACAACTAACGATCGCGGAAGAGTGATATGTGGGGATGGTGCGTTAAAGGGATGGGTCTCTGGGAGAGTGAAGTCACGTTTTGTGCGGGCCTCCATTTCAATGGTGGGCGTTTGACCGCCAAAAATGCTTCGATGATCTTTTTCAGCCTGAGCAGCTTCTACAGGCCCTCGAATAAGCTCGACGAATTCTGATGCGAGTTTGTGCTGTGCTACCCTCTTAGATGGATCTTGAACGTGCCGTTCCATGAGTTCTTTGATGGCCGTTATGGGGAGGAATGTAAAATATTTCAAATATTGCTCAACGTTCTCATCAGGGACTCGCAAGAAAAACTGCAAACTAATTAGTTCTTGAGGACTTGACAGGAGCAATTCCGAATTCAAGGCAGTAAGCTCCGTACCTGATAAAGATCAAAGCTCGACGTCATGTCCTGATCAAGCCAGACCGCATTCCCAGCTGATTTTCCAAACTTCTGGCCGGAAGGTGTTGTAAGGAGAGGAGTGGTGAAACCCATAGGCTCCAATAATTCACGGTCTTCGGGGTTCGGGGCATGCTTTCGCCAGTATTCGTTGCTTGCTTTCATGAGGGGTTTCGTTGCATCCATCCCGAACTGAATATTTCCTGCTTGGTCGGACCCGCCAACCTGCACTAATACATTCTGTTGTTGGATGAGCTGCCACCAGTCCCATGCTTGCAGAAGTGGATAAACGAATTCCGAAAGCGCCATGCCTTTGCCACTCTGCAGTCGATTCTTCACGCTGCAAGTCATTTGGTATTAGTCACTCCCGCCTAAGAGGAACATGAAAATAGTAATTAAAAAATCGCGAAAAAAATACTCTACCTACGTATCGCGCCCAAGCATCGGCCCTAATCGCACGGATTCTCCCATTGTCTTCATGACTTCGAAAAATGGTTCTTTGAGCCACCAAGTATTGTTATTTACAATTGCTCGTCTCCATATCCATTCATATTCGTACCCATGCTTAGCTCCGTATCTCTCAATTGACATCCCAAGCCGTTTAAGCTGAAGGTGCATGTTCGCCATGTTTTCCTTGCGCGTGAAGCTGGCCATTTTGGCTCGAGGACCTAATCGGTCGGTAGGGTCGCCAATTTGGCTGGTAGATCCTCCTAACTATTGATTTGGATTAGTTATACAGGGACATCCCATAGCACCATAAATGCGGATGTAGCATAAGCTAATTTAGAGGCTAATAGACATACCAGAAAAACAGCTCTAATGCCATGGACATAAGCCCATGCCAGGACCATAAAAGGCAACATGTGTCCAATATGCAGTGATGGTGCTGTAGGGTCAACACCGACATATACACCCACTCGCCTTTCCGTCCACATTCTATTCAACGCATCACGATCACTACAATCGAGAAACATTAATTGAACTCTTCTCCTCGCACCAGCCATTCAACAAAAGAAAAAAAAAAACCAAAAAAAAAAAAAAGGGGGGGGGGGGTCTTTGAAGAACGAATCAAGAGTAGAAAAACAACACAAAAGCACCGATATAAGCTAATTCCATCCAAGAGCAGAAGCGAAATGACATACCCGATCACTGCGTTAACTAAACCCCGCTCTTCCATAAGTTCCAAAAAGCTCTTCCTCGTTCCAGCCTTGATCTCCTCCGCAAAGTTTTTCCAGGCCTCCTCTCCCTCTCTCATCCGCCGGATATGCTGCATTGTTATATTTCGTTTTTGAAGACGAGGTGCTGTCGCGGCGGCAAGCCGCCGCCTTGATCGCAGTAGCAACGTGAGTCCCGCATTGTGCGATCTGGGAAATATTATGGAAGGAACGTATGAGGCCGAAGAGAGGGCGCAGCTTGGACATCGGTGTAATTGCGCCATCATTGGGAAGCAAGGGACAAATAAAGTTGAGCTACAGGCACCCAAGAGTTGCCTGGCTAGCTGAAGCTCCTAGGCCCTATATCAATGGGCTAGTACACATACAACCGGGTTCCATCTGTTGCGGAGAATACAAGGGACTTTGCTCAAGTTTTTTCCATATTGGTTGAAGCCAATCAGCAAGCATGGAGGGAACGCCGGATAAATGATAATACGACAGCGTAGCAAACTTAAGCGCTTATTAAGCGCCACGGTCAACTGTTTAGTTAACTTTTTACGAGTAAGGTTGCGGAAGGATGATCAGAAGGTGTACGTTAATGATGTACGCAGCAAGGCACATGAAGTCGTGCATCATTTGCAGAATGTTCAATATATAAATTAATAAATAAAACTAGCATCGCGGGCTTGTCCATTCCATGCAGGGCGCTAAGTGGATAGTGCGGCTTCCATACAACATCGATGAAACAAAAAATATGAGTGAGGATAATGAATGATCTCCTGCCTTTGACGCACCACAACACCTGATACGTGCCAACGTAAAACAATCAAGAGGAGTTAGCAGGTGTGAAGAGGAACTAGCTACTAGCTCAAAAAAACTTGAACAACAACCTCGTTACTCCACCCATTAGATAAGCCAAGCTCCTTCCACGCTGCTGCAACATCAATTGCTACAACCTTCTGCCCACCACCTCCCGCAGGCTGCAACTGAACGGTATGCACTGGTACCGCTCGACCCGAAAGCATGACCATAAAGCCTTTTTCTATGGAGCGTGTGTCAATGTCGGAAATGTAAATGCCTAGTGTTCCCAATGCCTTCAGCGTACGTCAATCTGAGACGACGGTTGGCCACGAGGAAAATGTCTGAGCTCACAATAGCAGCCACGCCAGTCATTTTGCCTAGGAGGCCTAGGACAGCGACACTTGTGGTGGTAGTAGTGGCCTCTATATTTGAGGTTTTGTCCTTGTCAAGTGGATTTGGCATTTCGAAGCTCCGGACTGGGTAGGCGGTTAAAATTTCCCAGCCCTTCGTCTCAAGAGATACGGCGACCAGGGGATCTTGGTCAGAGGGCTTTATTATGCGTGAGATTCTCCCAGTGGAATGTGCGCGGATTAAATATTTATCCTCGCTACCAGGGGAGACGCCATGGAAATCAAGAATGGAGATCATAGAACTGATTTTCTGAGCGCTGACGTTGAAAAGGCCCAGAATTCCGCTGCCAGTCTTGGCCCAGCCAGTATAGGTGCCGACTCTGAGCATCTTACCTTCGTTGTAGTTATGATATACGTCAATGGACCTTCCCAAGACACTGGGCCGGAGAATAACGGTGTTACCTCCGACTGTTGGGGCTGTCATCTGGTTGATGACGTTGATATCATGTTCACCCGGTACATCAGTGATATATATCGGACCGCCGGAGACACATCTAGCTGCCGCATGGAAAGACGCATACGGGTGGCTAGTCTGAAACATGTCCCAATCAGGTATGACGTTGAGATGTTGGGTAAACAGAGCATTATGTGCATTGCAAAACACGTGCCAGGGGTGAGAGGAGGGAATATTGGGGAAGAAGTCATCGGAATTTCTCAAGAGCATCCTTGGCTTGTTGGTCGGTACCTGTGAATGGAAAATTATTTGCGGTGTCTGCGACATGCAAGTGATTGCTTTGGCCTGGAAGTATCGCGATGAGGCAACCGACCAAGCGTCTTGGTATGCCGTGGTGAATCGGACCCGATCAGCAGGATCCTGGAGCAAATCGAGGAAGAATTGGGCATCTGTCTTCACAGAGTCAACCCCAGCTGCCAAAAGAAACTTGTAGAAATCGTCGTAGAACCGATGAATGTCGTCGGGATCAACTGTCAACATACTCCCTCCCGCAACGCCGTCACGTTTCTTGACAATCTTAGTTTTATACTCTTTCGCGATCTGACCGTGAGGCGAGATACCACCCCAGTAGCCCATGAGAGCATGCCAGACAGCGATGTGTTGGATATGCGGGTAATGCTGTCGTATTTTGCTAGTTAAGTGCTTCAGCCCATTTGGGAACCCATCTTTATTCGCTTCAAATTCCATCCATCCTCGTTTGAACTGAGACTCGCTCTTGTTATCCAACGCCTGCCAATTATCATCTATGATGAGGTTGACAATATTAATGCCATTATCCTTTAGCGTATTGAGGGCTTTTAATATTTTCTCTTCCGTGAGATCCTGACCCAACGCGTTCCAAGTACAATACGCTAGGCCGTCATACCAATCATACATCCATTGGACCTGGGGGTCATTCTCCACGAAAACCACATCGTTGCCCAACGGCGATTTCGGCTCACTCAACTCCTGTGGTATGGACGGAGAAAGTGGTCCAGTCCCCGAAAGCTTTCCCAAGGCTTTTCGCGCCTCGTACATGACAGCAGAATTGGCAACCTCGAAAGAAGGCGCCACTGCAACTAGGACCTGATATGTCGAGTTGTGGATACTATCATTCTTCACAGCAGTCATCACCTGGCCATTGTCTCCAGATTTGAAGGTAGTCAGGACATTGTCCACACCACTGATCGCTAGGAGAACGAGATGAGTTCCATCCTTGCGCAAAAATGCTAGAAAAATGGAATCCTCCGTGAGCGTCAGCTTGCTCAGGCCATGTCGAGGTGCTAACCAAGGTTCCCATATTCGAACAAGAGCAAAATATCTGACGAAGTCTTTCGGGAGGCCGAATTTTATCTCTTCGAATGTGCTCTCGTCACCAACGGCAGACAAGATGGAACCAGTCACGCTCCATAAAATTGCACCTGGAGATTCACTTGGATGTGCCTCAATCTGGAGATCGGGATTGAGATCATCTAAGTACTCCGTTAACGACTTCGACGGTTGGGCGACCGGATCAAGACCTTTGAGAAGTTGCCAGTGGGTCGGTTCAAAAACCAGTTCCCCATCTTTCATTCCGAACTGATCATTGACCCACTGCCATGAGGCATTTGCATCAATTCTATATCTAACAGTAAAAGATGCATGCCTGCCGACTTTTGGGAAGTCAAGCTCCTCAGAGAAGCTGTAGGTATGATAATCTGGCCCCGGTGCCGGACCCACTGACAACATAATCATTTGGGATGCTGAACCCTTTCGCAAAGGGAGAGCTTCCCAACGATCCCTGTTATTGACGTTATGCCAGATGGAAACTTCCCAGGTCTGTTCCGGAAGTGAACGGCTTGACTGGAGGAGAACAGTAAACCGGACCTAATGGAGTATTAGTAGCGAGTAGAGAGGCAATTGTGCTATGTTTCAAAAACATCACTGCTACAGACAAAGGCCAGGGTGCGGGCGCGGGGGGGTTGGGGGTCTTGGAGTTCGCATACCTTATCCCCATTCCCACTCCTTTTCAAGCAAGTAACCTGTCCCAGGGGTGGCCAGCTAGTAATATCAGCAAAGAGACACATTTGCGCCGCTCGGACGAACTTGATCTGGGATGGTCTTTGTTCCTTTTCTTGGATAAGCGGGGGAAGGCTTCTTTGCCCCGCGTTTGGCGCTCTCCCAGCTGAAGTGCTGGAAGGCATGAATGGAAGAGCTATTTTCGACATGATATCCGCAGATAAAAGGGCGTGTGGGTGTTCTCCTGTTTGCCAGGGCTTGATTGTGAATCGGCTTAGCTGGTAACCCGCGAGGCAGTAAGTGGGGTGAGCTCGACGAGGAGAAGCAAGGGAGGAGGGAACTTCCTTACGATGACGGTCCGATGTCGTACCTTACCGTGTAGCCGGCGGCGGATTCATGGATAGGTAGATAGATACTCATGTCCACTCCAAACATATGTCTGCGCATGTGGACTTACACGAGTACTAGCAACCAATGAAACTATGGGTGCAGCCAAGAATAGCATACTTTCGTATTTATGAATAAAGTGAAGAAGCTGCACATCCATGGTTCAACAACATCTGGAGCTTAACAATTGAGCCTACTTCGTATCAACCCCAAGAATCCAGTAACTGGTTTATTATTTAATCCCATTCGAAAACAGAATGAGCCAGGCCAGTTTGATTTGAAAGTGAAATCCGCTTCGAAAGCTTTTAGAAGGAAATACAGAGTAAAGTTACTGCTTCTAGTCCAATTCTACAAAAACAAACGAAAGAAAATCTTAACGTGGACAAACAAAATAAAGATAAAACAACTAATTATATACTCCTCAAAAATTTACGCGGACAAGGTACATAGAAAGATCAACTGAATCACCCCTGGAGGGGTCCTCCAACGCCGCCGAAAGTCACGGTCTTGATAGTAAGGAATTCGTCTACGCCGTACTTGCTGCCTTCGCGGCCAAATCCACTTTGCTTGATGCCACCGAATCTGCGAACGACAGTCGAGTTAGTTAAAATTACAGGGACAAAAGGATCAGAAAAACAATGCGGTTCAAAAACATACGGAGCAGCGGTATCACTGATAATACCCGTGTTGACTCCAACCATTCCAACCTCTAGAGCCTCCGCGATACGAAAAATCCGTGCCACATCCTTGCTGTAAAAGTATCCAGCCAAACCCACTTCAGCCTTATTTGCAAGGTCGACCACCTCTCTCTCGGTCTCAAAGGCGAAAAGACCCGCTACAGGCCCGAATGTTTCCTCAGAAGCCAGCTTCATATCTTTCGTCATGCCAGTAAGAACTGTTGGGTGGAAGAAATTCGAGCCGAGATGCGGCGCCTTCTGACCACCTACAACAGCAGTTGCTCCAAGAGATATAGCGTCAGTGACATGCTCTGACACCTTGTCTATGGCGCGAGAGTGGATGACGGGACCGTGGGTAACACTTTCAGAAAATCCGTGTCCGAGTTTGAACCCTTTAACTTTCTCGGCAAACTTGGCAGCAAACTCGTCGTAGATACCATTTTGCACGTATATGCGATTGGCACAGACGCAGGTTTGGCCAGAGCTGCGGAATTTTGAGGCGATAGCTCCAGCGACGGCTGCGTCGAGGTCCGGGCAATCCTCGAAGACGATGAACGGAGCGTTTCCCCCTAGTTCCAACGACAGTTTCTTGAGGGTTGACGAAGATTGCTTCATGAGGAGTTTGCCGACGCTGGTGGATCCAGTAAATGAAACTTTGCGGATATCGGGATGTGTGGTGAGGCAGAGGCCGAGCTCAGGTGTGTTTTTATGGGCGGTAACAATATTGACTACTCCCTTGGGGATTCCCGCGCGACGCGCCAATTCCGTAATCGCATTGGCAGTAAATGGCGTCTCAGCGGGGGATTTGGCTATAACGGTGCATCCTGCTGCAAGAGCGGGGCCGATTTTTCTAGTAACCATAGCTGCAGGGAAGTTCCAGGGCGTGATAAACCCGCAAACACCAACGGGTTCCTTTATAGTCATTACTCTATTGCCGGGAATGGATGATGGAATAGTATCACCACATATGCGTGGGGCTTCTTCACTGAACCATTCGAAAAAGTTGGCAGCGTAGGCGGTCTCCCCCTTGGCGTCCGCGAAAGGTTTCCCATTCTCCCAGGTGATTAATGTAGATATATCGTCTGCGTTGTCCATCATCAGCTGGTACCATCTTCGCAGCATTCGAGCCCTCTCACGAGCTAAGGTTTTTCGGAAGGATGGGAAAGCTGCAGCGGCGGCATTGATAGCGTTCTGGGTATCTTGGACCGAGAACTCTGGGCATGTTCCAATGAGTTTCCCTGTAGATGGATCTGTAGAGATGGAGCTATCAGCTACATGATCGATTGCAGAGCTGCGTATCCTGCAAGCTCACTGACCATGCACTTCAAAGGTCTCTCCAGACTGGGCCCCAATCCATTCGCCATTGACGTAACATTTCTCGATAAACAGGGATTTATCCTTCAACTGTAAACGAACACAATCAAGTACGTCAATTCTCCAAGTCTCCAGTCTCTCCAAACCCTAGTCATTGAAAGCTTACCGGTGGGACAGTATGCATAGTTGCTAACCGCCTTACAGAGGAGGCCACAGGTACTGTGAAAGGATATCTTATTCTCGGTCGAGATAGAGTATTGCAAAGGGACCGAAGTAATGTGTCCATTTGGAAAGCAATCGCGAGAATAAATGGTTCTTGAGAACGGAAGAGAGGGGGATAAGCCGTCGGAGCACCCCGCGTAACAACGACAGGCCAGGGCTAAAGCTGCGGAGATTCGAGATCCAAGCGCGATGATGTAATGCTGACTCGGATGTCTAAGCTGTTGGGCAGGGATAAGACGTCACGGAGGAATCCTCTTTGAGAACCAAGCAATTGAGGATAAAACCGAAAAACGAGCGAAGTTGCCCTTGCTATAACTAGCGTGGTTAGTGATTGGTAATGGGTGGGGTTGTACGCATCAGCAGTGGTGAGAGAGATCATAGAGATGGAGGGGTCCGGCGTTGGGGACAGAGAAGCTTCCGTTTACCGGCATCAAGTCCCCGTAGCTTCTTACAGGAGGATTGGCTCCGGCGCTAGGCTGGTGTATTCTAGGGTCTACCGTTGATTGTTGAACTATACGGAGTATATATTTAAATATATATGGCACAAGTCACAAGCACATTTTGGATTAGATGCCTATTATTCCCATTTTTGGACTTGAGGAGCTATTACTCGGGATGTTTTCTTAATGTCCTTTTCTCCCATGCTGCTGAAGGGCTTTGGTCTCTGGAGGCAGGAGGACATCTTTTCAATCATCCAACTCAGCCCAATGCTGCTAATAGCACACTCAAAAAAATTTCTCTCGGGGATAGGGGAGATAATAACTGGAACCGGGGCAGGAGAAGAAGGCGACTCAGACGGGTGAGAATAATAATACGAGGAGTAGAGAGTAGTAGTAACCAAGGGCAGTAGATTCCCAAGCTTGGAAATTTGCGTAGTTCGCAAGTGGAGCTGGAGTTCAGATTTAGTAGGTTCAGCTTAGCCAATCTCGCATTAACATCATGAAGAATCTTGACACATCCATTGCCGTATTATAAAGTACGCAGCAAGTTAAGAGTCAGAGTTGAGGCCCGCCTGTATTGGTATCATCATGCGCCGCGCACCAGTAAGCTATATAAACAAACAGATAAATGACAGCGGATCAGTTGAAGCCGCATCATATATCAATACCATCCAACGCCCTGAAAAATATTCCAACATTCCCATTCCCATGTATCCCCAGACCCGTCTCATCGATCACAGCAAACACCACCCTTCTCCCACCAACCCCCGCGGAACTCAGGCTCCGAAAATACTTCTGCCCAGCAGTCAGCAACCTCCTCTGCTGGGTTTCTGAATGCGCCACACCCAAGCGCCCCCAAAACCACTTTCCGATGTCTTTTCCACGCAGAGAGTCGCAGAATGATCCGCATTTTCTCCTTGGTGAGATTTCGATCGTTGGGATTTGCAAACTTCATTGCTGAATCGGCACCCCTGATCACCTCCGGGCGACGCTGTGCTGCCATGGATACAACGCTGACAAGAGGGAGTGTATCCGTGTCCGACAAGTCCATTAATCCATGGCCGTCCTTGACACTCTTCCTGAATACAATGACTGCCGGGCTGTAGATCACCGCATTGGCAGGTGTCGGGTAGAATGATTGTTTGAGGGATGCAGTGAGAGTGCTGCGTCTGCATAGTGCTTCCTCCTGCGCTCGAGCTCCACTGAGCCAGCCACCACCGGGGTTAGAAGGACTGGCCATGTTCAGGACAGCGACGGGTGCCTCTGGGGAGCCTGTCTGGCTAGTGTTGCTATCGCTGAGCAGCTGGATAGCGGCATCAAAGGTATCTGCGTCCGCGACCTGGATCTTGGTCCCTGCGAATTTAGGACAGAACTTCTGGTCCAGACGAGGAGGGGTCGTAGGAGATTGGTAAAGGAACCCTTCCTTTAATACAGCGCCGGACTTGGACGCGAGCAGGATATTCGGGATGATCAGTTTGGTTTCATGGGAGATGGTTCGTAGTTGTGCGCGTTTGCTATCAGGTTCGTCTGCAACGATAGTATCATGCCCTCGACCTCGACGTCGACCTCTCGCATCTCCTAGTCCGCGTCTGCGTCCGTGTCTTCTGGGAGAGCCTGTGGGGCCAAGCGCCTCTCTTGTCGGATTCGACATGGTAGTTTTAGTTCAGTTTCCGGTAGTGTATAATGTTGAATTCTTTTGAGTGCTTTCCTTATAAAAAGTGAGCGGATACAACGTTCTTGAAATCAATGACGTATTTCAAAACTGTGAGTTTAATCTATGTCGTTGAGGAATATCTAGGTCGATATTAGTGACTTTTGTGACTCATGAGGATGGATAACAAATTATACCTATTTAAGTGCCCGGTCCCGTTGGGATTGCACATGTTAGTCCGTAAATCACTCATCGTATACCACTCCAAGGCTGGCGCGAAACCCCGGCAGGCGTACGCCACTTGTTTTATGGAGGGGCAAAGGGTCTGTGTATATAAAATTCCATAACAGAAGCTGCCTAGAGCACTGGGGAAAGACCCCAATACGCAACGTTTGTTTTTGATTTGATTTTGCTTAAATGATCTCAGGTCCTGATTCTCGAACATAGGGATGCTCGTGCTTGGTTTTGGGCGATACAGCTGGATAAAGTAAATGTGAGGATGTAAAGCTTGCTTGATTGAAAGGTTGCTAGCTACGTGGGCAGTTATATGGGTGAAGGATTAACTACTAAGCCAGGCCGTTTGGTCTGACAGTAAAGTTATATAGATCGCGAGTTAAACTAAAGCTCCAATGGGTACTACGTCATATGATGTGACGGCATCCAATTCCCCCCTGCATTCAGGTAGTGTTCATCGTCCCTATTTTCCTTTCTACAAATTCCCTTGCCATACATGTGATTGGTTCTCTCTTACCCCCTACCACAGCAAGCAAAGTGTTTGAACGTTGCTTTATGACCCGTTTGACTGGATTCCTCGCACAAAAATTTTGGCCACAGAGAAACTTGGGCTCAATTTTGGAAAACGCACAATTTTATCAAGATCGGACGAAGGTAAAACGCTGACTAATTGTGAATTTCCTAATACAAATCTCACAGTCTTCGCAACTTTGTGAATATGGCAGTGGGGAGATCAGTGAAGCAAAAAGGCCGACCACCGGTTGTAGGGCAGGAAGGTATCCCCAAAGGAGTCCGTGAATATCGTTTTCAAGGTGTTGCGAACATGGAGCGGGTGATTGAATCCCATATGGACCTTCTTAGCAATCAAAATAACAAAGGGAAGGAGAAGTCGCTGTCCGCCTCGCAAGATGAATGCCCAAGTGAATTCATTGTTTTCGCTGGCGTTCCCTCAGACGTCCTCGAACACAACGCCATCGAGAAAAAATTTTCCTCCTATCACAAACAACTTAAAATCCTCGTCCTAAAAATGGTGCTACGCCCACACGAACGAGCCAGCCGGGTATTTGAAAGGCTGCTGCAAGATGCAATTAGACCAATGGGTCTCGAAGAGGAAATTGGCCTTGACGGTACAGCAAGAGTTCACAGCCTGGACAGAGACAAGGAACCGGATTGTTCCTATCGTCCACGCATCCTGCCAGCTGGCAGAGCGACCCAATGGCCAAGCATGGTTGTCGAGGTTGCAGATTCAGAGAGCCAGAATCTGGTTGATGCCGACGCACATTGGTGGTTGGAAAATTCAAATGGAGATGTCAAGATTGCTATTACTATTTCAATCCGAAGAGCAAGGATCACCATCCGACGATGGGAGACCATCGATCGTCCGACCAGAGAAAACCCATACCGAACCGTCACCAAACTCATGCAAGAGGTCAATATTGTTAGACAGCCTAATGGGTCGATAACGACGATGGGCACGGCACCACTCAGATTTCCATTCGAAAAGGTGATGCTTCGCCGGCCATCAATGCCACTAGAAAGGGATTTCCTTATCCTAGATGAGGCGCTGAAAGAGCTCGGGCAGGAGGTTTGGGAGGTTCAAGAGCATTGAGAAACCAAGTGGAATCGGGTACAAAGATGATAATTACTCAGTAAACATTCCATCTTAATTACCCTTGGGCTTGTATCCTCGACAGTAAATGACGATATTTTCGAGATGGGAAGTATGAGAAAGTGATACCATTGCTTCTTTGATTTCAATACATTCATAACAAAAATATGGTCCTCCAGTTTGTCCATTGCCAGTTTGTTTTCTAAACGTCCATAGTTAAACAAGTGTATAAGGATCAATTTCCTCAGCCAGATTCCTCAGTGAAGGGGGTAGATTTGCTTTGGCGGCCTCTAAGCTCAAGATTGGGATGTTTGTTTTTTATATGCTGGTTTAAGTTCCAGGTCCTTGAAAACCCTTTCGTTGAGCGAGAACACTCCTTCACAGGACAGTAAATCTCCCCGACACGTCTGCGCTTCTGGGCAATGCTAGAAGATGCAGGAATTTCATCATCCGTATTGGATTCACCCAATCCCTCCTTCTCGACATATTCCCACGTTGGAAAGCGCTTCTTATCCCTTTCGTTGAGCTCCAGTTTACCTTCGGTTAGAATGCTGAATGCCATGTCTTCTCCAAAAAGTTCAGAACAGCGCTTCGCTGTTCGCATGACGACTGATGTTGGCCATCCTGACATCGAGGCAATACCAACTATATCGCTCCAATCCCGTAAGCCTAATTTGGATTGTCTAGAACCAGGAGATCGGCTGCGAGAGCGTCGAGGAGTAATTGACCTTGTTCGTTGGGGATTCTTCACGCGTGATTTGGAACTAGAGACATCAGGTAGCTCAATGTCTCCTCCGTGGTCTGATGTAACGGGAAGGTCCGTATTCATGGGCGCATTGCGTGACCGTTTTACGCTTCGGGAGCCCGATCTGCCGCGTCGAGATATGGCCCGTGATCTTGACACAGATCTCGAAGTTAAATCGTCCTCGTGTTCTGTTTCATGCTCGCTGTGAGACAAATCCACAGTTGAAACATAGGCTTGCCGGGCGTGATGTAAACTCATAAGGATATTGTCAAGGTCGCTGAGAATGTGCCGTGCTGTTGGACGTAGCAAAGATCTCGACTTGTCATCATCCGCCTGGACGACTGGTCGGAATTGAATGTCGGGTTTTATGGCAATGTCTTTATCAGATTCATCTACGCCTGTGCTTATGGAACCGCCAGTCTCAGTCCCGGGAGCCATTTTTGTGTGCCTGTTGCGAACACGAGGCTGTTGCTTTTCCCACGATCGAGATTCGAATCTTTCTTTCGAGGTTTTTAACATTTGGGCAATGAGGCACTCTTCTAACTCTGCACTAGGTCGTTCGTCGGATGGGCCAGATATATTCCAGATGTCAGAGTCGTCTCTCGGTACATGTACATCTCCTCTTGGCACTTCGTCTGTAGGTAGAGGCCATGCAGTCCATTGCTTTGTTGGTACGAATTGTGAAGTCTTGTCTTCTTCGTTTTTAGACTGTGGCTCTTGATCTAGCTCCGAACTTTGAGATTTAATTCTCATCGCTCTCCTTTTGAGTGCGAAGGCATTGAACAAATGAATGGACAGATCTCGGGCACGGAGTGCTTCTAAAGAATTTATTTCGTGTCTTTCTTGTCGTGTTTTGGCACGCCAGGTTGACGGAGGACCAGGATATCTGTTTGGTCTTTCCGGTATAAGCGAATCTCTTGATGAATCGTAATCATCCTCTCTTCCAGATTGCTGGTTTTCCTCGTGCTCATCCACATTGCCGTCCGAATCGGAGAGTTTGCCATCGTCGTTGTAGTAAGTTCCGTCATCAGAAACTTCTGTTGCTGGAGAATATTGTCCAGATATCATATCCCCTTCATCTTCAAGAACCTCAGCATCTGGAATTCCTGAAGCGATTTCCAGACCTTGTTGATATGGTGGCGGGCTTGTGGATGAGGGTCGTAAATCTGGCCAGTGCGAACTCGACATTGACATTTTTGCCCTAGCTCAAAGTGAGGAGCAAAATGCCCAGGTAAAATGTGGATATGGAGGATGAGAACAATGAATAGTTCTCCATATTTCTCGTTTTAGCCAGCGTGATCAACAACGGTCCATGGTGTAGCCAGAAACGATGTCAGTGGTGTCAGACCGACAAAAGCGACAGAATTTTCAATAAAGTTGAAAAAAGAAACCAAGACTTGTGAAGGAACCACATACACATAGGTATACAGTGGTTTTTCTTCTTCACCTTTGGATATTTTATTCTCTAACCTTTGAACCTTGGGAAAAGTCTGTAAATAAATCACGTGATTAGGCATTTTCGGCAACCCGGCTTGGCAGAGTGGACATCCGAACCGGATTTATGAGGACAAGATCGTAATTCAAGTAAGGTTTATTAACTATGCGGTTTCGAATATCCAAGCTCAAATTCCAAATAATAAAATTAAACTCCTACAAAGGTATTTTCACCGATATCCGCACAAAATGCCTGTGGCAGTCGGGTATTTGCTAATTCTTAGGTGCTATTCTAAGAACTTGGAGAAGCGGCCACCAAAACCACATGGGAACATCAATCCCAATCAAAAGACTTTTCGCCTACTTCTTATTAAGACCTTGTTCGATCTTTCTCCGCTTCTGCCTCAGCTTTTCTGCTTCTGCATCCTGCTTCTTGTTCGAGTAAATCATTTTATCTAGCAGCTTGCGTTTCTTACGGCTCATCATCATCTTCTGGCGTTCGAGCTCCTCCTCTTCTTTCTTTTTCTGGGCCGCCCGTTTCTTAGCTAACGGTGCTTGTTGCTTTTTGCCCCTAATGGTTCCACTCTCTGCTTGACTGGAGGCCGAAAATGGAAGCCCGGCCGCCTCAGCTTCTAGTTCCTTCTGGTGTTGCGAGCGAGCTTTCTCCTCCTCGTCTTCTGACTCGGAACTCATATCTTCATCTTGGTCAAACCCTTCGAATTTATCGGCACCATCACCGTCATCGCTACTTTCGTCCGTGTCTTCTGCCATTGCAATGTCCATTCCGCCATTAACTGACTCATCACCGGACGTGTTTTCATCGCCAGAGTCACGAGCCAGGTTAGCAAGCAATTCTTTGCTCTGTTTCGACTTAGTGCTTTCTTCCCCACTTTCTTCCTGTTCATCGTTTTCATACTCTTCTGCTTCAGCAGCTCGTTCAGCCTCACCCTCCTCTTCTTGGTCAGCCAGGCTGGCTCTTGGGTCGTAACCACGCTCGGAGGGCTTTACCCATGGGCTCAGATGCGGTGGGAGTGTAGCACCAGGGGCATAGAGGTCAGGGCGCAGAAGCTTGCCTTCGTTGATGCAATCCCAAACCCATTGTGGTTGAATATATGTCCGGCCAGGGACTCTGGTTCCCGGTCTTGGGGCGGCTTCGGTTCCGTCTTCGGGGTTTTTAGGTAAGGGGGGAAGTGAAGCCTGGGGGAGTTGTGGACGGTCAACTATTTGGTGGGTTATGCGAGCGTCTAGCTCGTCATGTGTAAATGCACCATCTCCAAGAACGCTATCCCACCCTATGCGCTTGCAGCCGAATGAACGCAACAAGAACTCAAGAGGTGCCCGAGGAGCCTCCCGAGAGATATAAAAGGTGAATGTCGCAAATAATGAACCTGCTTCATCGCCACTGATTTGTGGTTGTGGTAAGCTATCAGCTTCAGGGGCTATTGGTTCGAATTTGTCGATGGCCTCAATGTTTTCTTCCTGGTCTTCGGTCGATTGGTCTGTGGGATCTGTATCGAGTTGGGTCTTTTCGAGTATGTTGTCGACCTTAGCCTGGAGTTCTTTTGAGGTAGTCGCCGCTTTCTCAGCACTCCCATTCGGTTGCCGCGAAGTCTCAATAGCCTTGTGCGCCTCTCCAAAATAGCGTCCTTCTAAGGTGAAGGCTGCGAGTTCAGCGCCGCGTTCATCACTAGATTTATCAAACTTTGGTGGATAAACCAAACCGATTGAAGTATAGAGTTTATAATTGACAAACCCAAGCAGGGTGGTGTAGAACTCTACGAAAGTGCCCATAATTCGGTAGTCCACGTCCCCCGTAACTCTTTGAACAAATCGATAAGGTACCAGCCACATTATATCCTGCCCTAGAATTGTAGCTTGGTAATATATGCCTTTTATTGAGAGGAATGATTTTCGGAGAGAATTGGTAGCTATCAGATAATGCTGGAATTCATGACAGAGTCGCTGGCAGAGGGTAATGGTCTTAGCCGGAACGGAGGTCGTCGAGGGTAGATTGGCAAACAAAAACAGGAGCGACAAAGCATCATCCAAGTCCCGAAGCGCATCTATAAATGTTGGATACCGTTCCTTGATAATGTGATCGAGGGAGAGTTTCGGTGCATTATTTTTCTCGAGTCTCGCGGCATTTCCAACTTCTCCGCGACCGAGAGCCCTGGCGATCTTCTTGGAAAGGGCCTTTTGTTCCCGAAATTTCTTGAGTAAAGGCTCGTGAAGGAGATACTGAATGTCTCTTGTATAATAGAAGGTAGTGCTTGGGGTCGCTGCTTTCGAGGCTTTCTTTTTGTTTCGCGGCTCACGGGGATAGATACCTAGCATAAAAATTAGACAACCAAATCATGCATATAAAAGAGATGAAAGTCTTTACCCTTGAAAATACATAATCTTCGGAAATCAGGGAGAGAAATCTGTAGTTTGCGAACTGCCTGAGTTCTGGTGATGAAATTTTTCGCTTGACCAGACGTGCCTGTTGAACAAATAGCGTTAGCAACCTCACCCGGTATGCAACCAGAACAATAGGAGTTCAGTACCTTTCTTTTTTATTTTCCCCATTTTTTATATCGGAATTGCTCGAATTGCGACGAAGACTTGGTGTTTCCGACGTTGGGCTTAGGCGCTGGAAAAAAAAAAAGTTGTGCGGGAGTCGGAGAAAAGCTCGATGTGGCCCGTGCGTCAACATCCTCCAGCTGCAACCATCGCGCTTCAAGGTCATGAATAGGAAATCAATTAACCCTAATGACCCCACCTGGCATTTTGTTTACTGCCATAGGACTATGAACTTCTATCTCGATTTCTGTTCATAATGCCGGTCGATAGAAGAAAACTTTGTGTATTTGGAGGTGCAATCACTCTCCGCATTCTTTTATTTACCCTGTTTCCGACTCTCCCAGACCTGCTTACAGGTCGAGTGGAAGTTTCAACGCCAGTCAGCAGCTTTAAGAGGCGTAAGTTGAAGCCCTGTTCCCACATAAATGTGAGAAATTGCTGAGTATAGCTGTGTATTGCGAGTCCAAAGTCCAAGAAGGTGTCTTTTTATACACCCGAAAGGTCAGCCCGTACGATGGTGGAGTTTATCACCAGGTGCGTTCTTTTAAAAATATAAGAGCCAATACAACGAGCGACAATCTAATGCGCTCTTGCACAAGGCCCCGATTCTTTTGCCGATATTTTCGCTCCTCCCGCAGTCTGCCAGCCATCCTCTTCTCGCCGGTTTGGTTTACGTCTTTCTCGATCTTCTCAACGCCGCGGCTTTGATAAGCATATCGGATTCCGGTGAATCTGTGGTATCGAGACTTTACACGTCTACACGGAAACATATTCGATGGGATGGAGTCTCTATTGCTGCAGGGTATGTTTGAGATAGTAGATTCATGGCGGAAGAGATATTCACAACGCAAGCTAATTTCTTTACAGTTACCTATTTAATCCATTTGTAATCGCGACATGTCTGGGCCGATCAACCAACAGTTTCACCAATTCCGCAATCCTATATGCTATTTCGAATGCGGTTACGGGTAATACCTTCAACTCCGTGCTCGCGCTGGGATTCGCTTCGTATCTATCACTCTATCCTGCTCTCCTATATCCGCCGCTCATTCTCCTCTGCTACGACCGAAACGTATCACGTGGGAATTTCACAGGCGGTTCTTTCGGCTACGCGCTAAGATATTTAGTTCTTTTTGTCACGATTGTCGTGGCACTCCTCTATACGTCTTACATTCTTACTGGTAATTCATGGGAGTTTATATCTGCAACTTATGGGGTTCAGCTGCTGGTACCTGACTTGACACCAAACGCTGGCCTTTGGTGGTATTTCTTGATTGAGATTTTCGATCCATTTCGAGAATTTTTCCTGGGAGTTTTCTGGTTGCATTTGGCATCATATGTTGGGGCCTTCACCGTGAGGATGAGGTCGCAGCCTCTCTTTGTGATCACCTCATTCCTTGGGGTATGTTCGATTTTCAAACCATACCCTAGCATTTCTGACGTATCCATCTATTTTGCTCTTCTGCCACTCTACCGCCATGTCTTCCCATGTACGTATTCCCTTTCTCCCTCTTCTTTTTGCACGTACCTGCTAACATAATCATAGTAATGCGTTATACGTTTTTCGCCGTTGCCGTTTTGCTATATGCAACAATTCTCGGCCCAATATTCCACCATTTATGGATATACGCTGGCTCGGGCAACGCCAATTTCTTCTACGCAATAACCCTAGTCTGGAGTCTAGGGCTCTCGATTCTCGTTGCAGATTCGATATTCGCTGTCCTTCGTGACGAGTGGGAGAAGAGCAGACCAGACATGAAAGGAAAATATGTAAAGCAGATCTAACAGTCTCTGTGGCAAGCGTCCAACGCTCTTGGTGAGGAACCAACTAGTTTTACCCTCACCATACAACACCGATATCATTCTTGTCATTCTTCATTGTCGTCTGTGTACTAGCAATGTCCTTCGATAATATCATATAATCATATTCCCTAATATGCCCATTCCTGAGGTTCATCGGTTTAGGAGAAAACTCATCTTCCGCGTATCCCAGCCGTTCATAAAAGCGAATAGCGGACCCATTGGCCTTAAAAACCGTTAACATGGTCTTTTGCAACCCGATGTTCCGTCCTATCTCCTCATAATAGCCAAGAAGTATCTTCCCCAATCCCCTGTGCTGTAGCTCCGGTGCAAGGTGAATTTCGTAGCAATATAGTACTTCAATTTCATCTTCGTATGTAACCATGAAGGATAGAAATCCTCCAAGCTCCCGCCTGCCAGTTTCAGGAGTTTGTGACTTCTCATCCATGTGTATGAGGGACACCGATTCGGTAGCAGGAGGACAAGTAGTAGGAGTGGTGTTACGGACCAGAAGCATATACCGCATATCCAGAAGTTTCATTTCGTTTTTCTTTTTCGCAGGTGACCATCCAGTGGTTGAATGTTTGTACATCTCCGAGCTGGTAAGCTTCACCAGCAAAAAGCATGACTCGAGATCGGTCTTTGATATCGAGGTCGATGAATGTATTTCAATTGAATAGGTTTCGTATAGTTCCTGGCCATTGACGGCCGGTGTTCGGCATGGAACTGATATAGTGAAGTCCCGGATTCGAAGGGGTATGTAGCGATTAATAAAGTCTTCAAGTGAGAGCGCATTCACGCATTCGACCAACGGCACTATTTTTGCTGGAGGTTTTTGCTCATCGGAAAAAGCCGGCCGGTGTGTCAGATAGTTTTGGTAATCAGTTAATACAAAACCGAAGGCTCGATCATGACTTACGCGACGCGGGATGCCTCTGCCGTGATTCTTCATTTTTACTACCCCTATCCGACACACCATTCTCGTTCTCTCGGAGAGCATGGGTCTTCTCCATTCCATTGATATCTGAAACTTCTGTGGCTAATGCACGTGTCTTCTTCCTTGAAAATGTCGCTGTAGCTTTTCTGATCCTACTGTCACGCACTCTCCGCAGGACAGACATAGTTTCCTCCTTGATCGTACCAAGCATTGGCTGGCTTGCTCCTACTTATAGATATCTATATAGGTTAGCAAATGCCATGAACACTGCACTGCCTCGTCAAAACAGGATTTCAGTCAATCGGTCCTTCAAGGGATGAAGTTGAAACAAGATGACATTCTTAGCTCTCGGAGACGGGGTAATCGGTTGCTCTAACTCGTTTCCGCGTTCACTCCGTCACCGCCTTCAATTCTGCCCTTACAATCAGTGGTTTTTATTTAAGCAACCAACGAATGATTCTGCTTCAATTTGCACGGGTCATATCGATGGCGGAGAAACAGAATCCGCAATTTTACTCCAATATCCATACATGCGCTTGTCAGCTCGCCTTTTCTCGGTTGCTGGAGAGCCGCCACGCAGACTCAGAAGGCAGACCGTCAGCCTTGAACATGTAAATTTATCTGTTTACTACCCTCCACCGAATATCATATCCAAACTGAAAACCGGAGACTCCTAGGGTTCCGCTAACTAGAGCACAATTCCAAACATGCATAGTTCGTTCAACAAAAGCGAGCACTCGGCTCTGGCGTGGAGATCGTGGCGAGCTACGAATAGTACGACCTGC